GCACCTCATGACTACACCACGTTATGTAGGAGAAGCTGCAAAAGACACAGGTGCAAGGAGAATGTACAAAACATGGTGACATACATTTTTAAGTTAATATAATGGGCGATATATTGTGTCACCAAAAATGATCGAGGTCATGTACATATAGTGCGCGATAAGTCGATATATTGATTATTACGACAGACATTTTGGCACCTCATGCCAGGCAGAATCACCCAGGGTGAATGTTGATAATAATGAAAGTCTTGTGATAGGGCATGGTCACGTTGGCTTGCCACTGCACACTATTGCTGAAAAACACAATCACTACTTAGCAGTCAGATGCCTGTATGCACAAAGGCACAGATCCCTAAACGAGACCAAATCTGCCAATTAAACTTTTTTTGTAGCAGCATTTTTTAAATTTGAACTAGCACCTCATGACTACACCACGTTATGTAGGAGAAGCTGCAAAAGACACAGGTGCAAGGAGAATGTACAAAACATGGTGACATACATTTTTAAGTTAATATAATGGGCGATATATTGTGTCACCAAAAATGATCGAGGTCATGTACATATAGTGCGTGATAAGTCGATATATTGATTATTACGACAGACATTTTGGCACCTCATGCCAGGCAGAATCACCCAGGGTGAATGTTGATAATAATGAAAGTCTTGTGATAGGGCATGGTCACGTTGGCTTGCCAGTGTGTGTGTGTGTGTGTGTGTGTGTGTGTGTGAGTCATGAGAAAGAATGAGGAATTGTGTCCTACAGTGTTTAACATCACTTCCTTGTCTCATATTACAATCCGACCCTCTCGTTTTCAATGTAATGCCTGTTTCTTTCTTTACTGTTGCCAAAGTTCATTCTACTAACAATACTGTCTCTTAGCCCTTTTGGCTCCTCACTTGAAACATTAAATCCTCATTCAGGAAATGAGAAATTTAAACAATCCTATAAGTAATAAGTAATAAGTATTCAATTTTGCTCAAATTGTGTGGTTTATTGTGCACTGGGGGAAAATTACTGTTTTACAGTTTTACAAACTTCTAAAACACTCCTAAATCAAAATATGTCATTAAAAAGCTAAATTAAAGATATTATTGTTTTCTGAAAAATGCATCATGTGAGTTTACTCTTAAAACAAGAAAAAATGTAACTGGGGTAAGAAAAATAAACATAATTCTAAGTCAAAACAAGATTATCTTTCTTACCCCACTGACATATATATATTTTTTTTTTTAAAGAAAGTTTATTTTACTTAATTTTGATATTTTACTGAAAATACTTAATTTATTAAAAAATTACTTAATTAATTTTCCTACTTGAATAAATGTCTTTATTTCGGCATTTTTAGACAGTTATGGAAAACATGACAAAAATGCCTAAATAAAGACATTTATTCAAGTAGGAAAATGAATTAAGTAATTTTGAATAAATTAAGTATTTTCAGTAAAATATCAAAATTGAGTAAAATAAATCTTTATTTAGGCATTTTTAGACAGTTATGGAATTATTCCTATTATTCAAGTAGGAAAATGTATTAAGTAATTTTGAATAAATTAAGTATTTTCAGTAAAATATCAAAATTGAGTAAAATAAATCTTTATTTAGGCATTTTTAGACAGTTATGGAATTATTCCTATTATTCAAGTAGGAAAATGTATTAAGTAATTTTGAATAAATTAAGTATTTTCAGTAAAATATCAAAATTAAGTAAAATAAATCTTTATTTAGGCATTTTTAGACAGTTATGGAAAACATGACAAAAATGCTAATAATTATAATTTTTATTTTTTTTGAGTGTGAAAGGTGTTTTACTATTTTTAAGTGATCTAACTTATGATTGTGTGCTTTTGACTTGTTCCAGTAGGTAACCACCTAGCAACAACCCCGAACACCCTAGAGACCTTCAACTACATGGCAACTTGCTAAGCAACATTCAAAACACCTTTGCAACATCCTGGAAACCCTAGCATCACGATGGTGAGTTGAATAAAGTGCAAAAATGTCTGTGTCTGGATGATAGTTTACTAGCAAACTTAAATTAATAAACAGATACATAATGCCAGTCCTACACTTCTCTCTCCTAATTATAGTTTTTAGATTTTTAGGTCATGTCTACTACTGGTTTCTTGACCAAAGTCAACCTAAAAGCAGTTATTTATAGTATCGCAATGTATTGAGGCTATGTAATGTAGCTGAATGCTGAATGACTTTAAAAAGCTTTTGGAGTTTGAGGTTAACTAAGGTTAAAAACTTTTGGATAAATACTGGTGTGAGCAGCAAACTATGCGTTTGACTGGCTGGAGAGGTGATCAATCTTCATCTGATGGACATGCCTCCTTCTCTGCACTAATTTGATCAGACTAGTAATTATTGCGAGCAGCTGCTAGTGTGAAGGTCAGTTTTAAAGTCTATTTTTCTGGGGTGAGAGAGTTATGTTAAAGTAGCTGCATATATAAAAATCTATAAAATAGTGGAAATATTTTCACTCAGTTAAAATTAATCTGTAAAAAGAAAACAAAATACAAAAAGGCATGTAATAAGGGTGATACTATATACGATATATATATAGTGTGTGTGCGAGTGGTCAGTGCAGTGTAGTTAAGTCACATTTGTTCTCACCTACTTTTTTCCAAACACCCCAACTCCATATAAGACAACTTGACACAATCACGTGGCACACAAAGGATGCAAGCCATGTACACAGGAATCCAGACTGCAGCTATATTAGGAACAAAATTCCAGCCCTGAGAACAGGCTGTGAGCTCTGAAGTATTGTATGATTATACACTCCAGCACAAACATGCTGACAGATGCCCTTTAGTAACACAAGCACTTTAAAATGGAGTAAAACCATCTAGTTCAGCAGTGTTTTCACAGATTCACCTCTCCAGAAAACTCTTCAATATATAACTAGATTTTAACTGAAGTTTACTTCATCTCTTTGCCGGCCATGTGCTCAGAGTGACGCAGGAAGGAACAAGACATTCTGTTGAAATGAATCATTGTTCCAAAAACCAGTGATTAAAGTAGTGCTGTCTTTGTGATCGCTTCAGCTAACAAACATCTGTTTCCATGAGCAGATCACGCCAATACTTAAATCTTTGCCCATTACAAATACATTTTAGGCCATTTTTAGTTAAAGATATGGCCATGACCATCTAAATGTAACCCTTTCACACTTCACTTTTTCTCTTTTTGTCATGGAAAACTGGAACGCTGGATTCTGATTATAAAAGCTAAGAGGTTAACCAAACAAAACATGCTTTGAGACCGATGTTGGGCCATCATGGTGCATCTCAAACTGAAAACAAGACGTAAGATGTGTTTACTTCATTGAAGGACTGGATTTATCCATGTTTAATACACAGCCAGATCATGATTTAGCTTCCAAGATCTATACTCTTAAAAATAAAGCTTCCTAAAATGGGGTTTGCAGCGATGCAGTAGAAGAAACATTTTGGCTTCCTCAAAGAACCTTTCAAAGAATTTTTTTTTTAGTATAAAGAACATTTTATTAATTTAAATAACCTTTTTCCACTATAAAGAACTTTTCATGCAATTTAAATGTTCCATGGATTTTAATGGTTCTTCCTGGAATCGTATGACAATAAAGAACCTTTGTTTTTAAGAGTGAACTCACTAAACTTGGTCTATTCGGCTAAGAATTCAGGTGCCTCTGATCTTTAAAAGTTGCAGTGATCCAGGACGCAGTGTAAAGCTGCATGACATTCCAGTTTCCAAATCACTGGAGGAAAACCAACTCATACAGTGAGGTCCAAAAGCCTGAGATCACATTGAAAAGCTGGATTTTTTTGTTACTAAAACCAGTAAATAAATGCCAAATGGATTCTTTTCCCCCCCAGTTTCTCGGTTAAGCAAAATGTTCTTGCATCATACTGGAGAATATGATTATCATATTTTGCATGCAGCTCCAGTGCTGCTGTCATTAAAGCAAAAGGTAGAGGAGCCAAATACTATGAAATGTATATATTTTTTGTTAAGTTTGTTATGCGGACAACATGTAATTTGTAAAATAAAATTAGTATTAAATTAGAATATTGCTTAAACGTAGAGGTCTGAGATTTTCGGACACCACTGTGCTACTCAGATAATGTCTGATTATCTATATGTTATTTTATCTTAAATTTTTAGAATAGAAACTTATTAAATGCTAATAAGTTATTATTATTAAATACTTGTTAGTACTTTCAATTGTAATGTTATTAAACAGACTATCAGCAGGATACAAAGATTCCCCATTATACACCACGTAAAGTATGAACATAAAACACCTTAAAATAGCCTAATTATCATATTTTAATATACAGTGAACTTGACCATCAATCTGCCGTAACATATGTTTCACTATATAAACAGTACAGTGGTATCAGAACTGATTACTCACCCTTTTCAAGGAGAAGGAAAGTGAAATGTTTATGTTTGAAACGTGGTTGTGAAGGAACCACCCGTAAAGATCTGATTTAGACAGACAGAAGCCAACACCCTACACCATCCGCTCAACAGGTTGGCTCAGTCCTGAGTGGGTTGAGTTTTGAATGAAGGATCTTTTGTCTGGGAGAGCAACTCTGATCGTTTTTAGTTTGTCATGCACGCTCAGGCTGAATTTATTATGATGGGGGAGTGAACACAATGATACAATAGAAGTAGAGGAATAGAACTCTCTAAGAAAATTTTGTAAAAATATGTGTTAATGTAAATGATTTTTCACAGGCGTTTTACTTTAAACTACACATTATATTGTGTTTTGTTGTAGGGTTGGAGGAAATGTGTGTAAACTTAATGGAAAAGTTACTGGTGATTTTATGCCTGGACATGATCATTCTATGGATTTCAATGTATGCAACATTGAGAAACAAGTCAAATAAATATAAAAATTAAGCACTTTTATGTATGTATTTATTTAAAATGTTCCCTCTGTTTTAATAATGCATTTCAGCATTTTATTGTACTTTTATTGTATTGATTCCTACTGTTGCCTTACTTGCTTCAGCTTGACCGAAGAGTGCCAAGAAGACTGTAAATTAAAATAAAAATGTGTGAAAAATCATACACAAAGAAGAAAAGACTATGACATGACCAAACTAATAAACTATCAGACATTTGGAGAAAAGGTAATACACTCAAAATATTCCAGTAATTTTTCAAGGTTTAGAGAAAAAGATATATTTTGTTCTGTAAAATAAATAAGCTATTTAAGTTAAAAAAACAAAACCTTTATTTCTGTATATCATAACATATAATGTGTACATATATTGTAATGAGAACTTAATTTTGTTTTTAATAATTTACAAAAAAGCTATTCTTTTTTTCTTCCATCAAATCATCAAATCATCAAATTCCATCAAGTCCTAGTATACTGTAAATGTGGATAGAAAATCTTTGAAGGCTTGACCTTCAGGCCCAAGGGCACAGGTCCGTCTGTGACCTTTACTGTGTACATAAATAGTCATGACTTACCTGTAAGAAGAACTAGTTCTGTGAGCTGGCTCATTTTTACCCCTCCTGATCAAAGACACACACATACACTAAATCAGACAATATATTTTTGTCTTACAGTAATAGTTTACTCAAAAATGTACGACAGTTTACTGAAAATGCTGTCATTTATTCACCCTCATGTCATTTGAAACCCAATATAATGACAATAAATGAGGACTGGTGTTCCAAAATGACAAAAAGCACCCTAAATGAATCTTAAAATGATTAATCTGAATTGTCTAAGTCATCTGAAGCCATTCTGAAGCTGCACTAGCTCTCTCTGGTGCAAGTTCATAGCAATGTCATATGTAACCATGTTCAATATGTGAACAAATCTTTTAAGTCATATCTTTTTAACAAATCAGTTGATTCCGATCACACAACAGTTCTTGAATCAGTCTGATTTAGTTCTCTTAAACTGAATCATCTGGTCAGCACACTGAAGTGGTAGATTATAAGTGAATGACGACTTAAATTTAGGTCTATTTCTTACATAAAGCTTTCATATGACTTAAGAAAACTGTCCACAAGTCATACAGACTACCTTATGATGCTTTTGTGCATCATCTTGGAGCTTGCAGCTCCAGTCTCCAATTCAGCTTCATTATATCATTATGTGTCCAAGATTTTTTTTTAAACACCAAAAAATAAAGTCATACAGGTTTGGAACATCATGAGGAAACGATGACAAAAACCCCTCATTTTCCCCCTTAAACATATTAAACAGATTTATTTTGAAATAATTTATCAGTATGCATCAGCATAATGTCTGGTAATAACGTTTGCTACTTGCAGCACATATAATTAGATGGAATATGTTCTATTCCCATGTACAGGTCAACAGTGAGATGCGGCCTACGAGACGAGGAATGTTTGTTAAGAAACTCCAGCTGTAAGTGCAGCTGAGAGAAAACAGCACTCGTGTTTTGAAAGTAAACAGAAACCGTGGGTCGACGCAGTCGGGACGCAGCACGTTCCAGGACACTGCTGGTGTACCCTTGAATGCCTGGAGGTGTTTTGGAAAGTTTGCCCTCCCACCACCTCTGGTTATAAAATCTTCTCGAAATGCTTTGGATTTGTAGCTCAGCGCTTTCTCCATCTCACTGACCACACATGAGCCCTGAAGTCTGGATGCCATTTTTATTCACTCAAGAATGAAAATTCTGACATTGTTCTCACCCTCAAGTTGTTCCAAACCTGTATGAGTTTCTCTCTTCTGTTGAGCACAAAATATATTTTGAATATTGTTGATAACCAAACAGTTGCTGGTGGCCATTGACTTCCATTGTATTTTTTTTTCCATAGTCTAGACGTCAGTGGCTCCAGCAACTGTTTGGTTATCAACAGTCTTTAAAATATCTTCTTATGTGTTTATCAGAAGAAAGAAACTGATATAGGCTTGGAACAACTTGAGGGTGAGTAAATGATGACAGAATTTTCATTTTTGCTTTTAAACAAGGCTTTATTACTACTCATTACAGTTGCTGGTGGCCATTGACTTCCATTGTATTTTTTTTTCCATAGTCTAGACGTCAGTGGCTCCAGCAACTGTTTGGTTATCAACAGTCTTTAAAATATCTTCTTATGTGTTTATCAGAAGAAAGAAACTCATATAGGCTTGGAACAACTTGAGGGTGAGCAAATGATGACAGAATTTTCATTTTTGCTTTTAAACAAGGCTTTATTACTACTCATTATCCTTTTAAATTACTCATTATCATTTTAAACAAGGCTTTCTAGGGAATATTTACAGGACTTTCATGTAAAACAGTTCTTGAAAGTCCACATATCCAACATGGCAGGTGTGAGGTCACCTTCATCTATCGACCTGATTCTAAGACAGAATCTTTATCTATTCCCTGTTAATTTTTACTTAAAAGAACAACTCCGAGCTCGGATTATGTATTAAATCACAAACAGCAATGAATCAAACATTAATGAAGATTATCTAAAGATCCACACTGGCATTCAAGATAAGTAAATACTATTAAAAGACGTTGTTTTTCATTGCATCATTCCCATGTCACATTTAGCACAATCCAATTTATCAAAAGACCCTGATCTTACCTTAGTAGAGGAACTGATGGCTCTCTGAGCAGTAGATGTTGGATGAGGCTCCTCAGGTGGGCTGATCTCACAACCTTTCTGTCTTTTCTATAACCTTTAAAGAAAACTCCTCCTCACTGTATACACATAAACACAGCACAGCATATCAGATCGATGCATTTAGGGTGTGTGCATCATCAGGTCATCATGTCCACTGTTTAGCCCAAAACATGACCTGCGTGTTTATGAATTACACACAGCTTAAAAGTTGTTTAAGATGGAGGCTGACATGAGTACACCTACAAATCAGTGTCCTTTAAATGTTCTTTACTGTAGGCATCAAAGCTGATGTCCTTTACCCAACAGTCACCAGTAATGTGACACTGTGGGCAGAAGTGAGCATCACTCAGAAGGGCAGAGCACATTATGTGAACACTTTGAAGGGTGCAAGGCATTACTGTCTCTCTGATTGGTTCAACCTATTCGAAGACATACATCATTGGCACTTGATTTTGAATTAGAATGTTACCTTGATAAGGTAGCAGCTAAATTAATGTTTAGACAAATTTTTTTTAACAAAAAAAAACAGGAAAAAAATGTAGGAATATAAAAAAATGATAATAATAGTTCTGAGGAGCATTGGCCAGGTATGGACACCGCAAGGATTTTGTTAGTGCTTAAACAGGGCCCACGGTCACTGGAGAACTATATCCGAGAGTATTTAGCCATCGCTCACTATTCTGTTTATTGATAGAGTTTTTCTTCGATGGCATAAATCAACCTATGAGGGCTAAGCTTAGACGCAAAGGTCCACGTTCATCACTCGCTCAGTTCATGGATTATGCTTTGTTGACTGTCGGATCTGTATTTACTGTGGGTGTCGCGGAGGAAGAACGCGACACAATGTGTGTGACTGAAGTGGTGGCTGTACCAGAGCACGCTCACAAAATGGCGGCAGCAGCAGCGGAGCCTGATCGCAAGATGGCGGCCACACTAGAGCATGCTCACAAGATGGCGGCGACAGCAGAGCACACTCACAAGATGGCGGACACAACCGCATCTAGTCATGTCACGGTGGATCATCATGAGTCAGGTCAAGTAACAGTTTATTATCATGAGTCAAGTCACAGTTGATCGTCATGAGTCAAGTCAAGTTACAATTCAGTATCATGAGTCAAGTCTAGTCACAGCTGTTCTTCATGAGACAAGTCACAGCTGAGCTAATCTTCCCGAGTCGAGTCTAGTCACAGTTGATCGTCATGAGTCAAATCGAGTCACAGTTTATTATCCTGAGTCTGGTCAAGTCACAGCT